AGCGTGAGGAGTATCTGCGTCAGGAGATGACTCGGCTGCTGCAGGAGATTGAGAGCAGACCTGCGTGGAAAGACATCTTCTCTTCTGTGTGGCAGCGGTGCCTACCTTGGACTCCTGTGGGAGTCCTGGTCCTGCTCGCTGCGGTCTGGTGGTGCTGCAGGAAAGTGAAGCTTGTCTCTGAGAGCTGCAGTGGTGAGGACTGCTCCAGCAGCAAGGAGGAGGACGAAGACAAAGAGGAGGAGGAAGACCGCAGCGGTGCACGCAGTGTTGCCAGGCCTCGGGCTGTGTCCACCCCATCGCCAAGGCAGTGATACAGGGCCAAGATAGGAACAGGGGATGTAAGGGTTAACATGAGAATAGCAAGAAGGGGATAATAGCAAGAAGGGGATAACAAAAGAAAATAGTTCAAGGGAAATAGTTTAGATAACGGTTAACTGTCTGCTTAGTGAGCAGACAGTTTATAAAACACGGTGAGCTCTCTAGGCTTTATCAGTACCAAGCCGGTTGGAACTAGACCCACGGTTTGGACAACAGCCAGTAAGAAACTGAGTATGCGCAAAACCTGGGGTCACAGAGCGGACAGGAGGAAGAGGAGCTTGACTTCATCCCCAAAGACCCCCACGACCACCACCAGAAGACACTGCGCAGACTCAACTAGGAGGAGATTATGGAAATGCTAATTATAATACGAAGCGGGGATAGGTGTTGAATATGTATAGGCGTATTGCGAAATATTATGAATATGTAATCATTTGCTCTATAAATCTTAGGTAACAGCATCATACGTTGGGTACACAATAGGAGGAGTTATCCCCTGTGTACCTCAGCGCTGAATAAACATACCTACTTTACAATCTATCAGATTGTGGAGTCTATTTCCGCACGTCAGCAGGGCCTGCCCGACACGTGCCAGGTGCTGAAGGAGCTGGTGGGTGAGCTCCTTGAGGTGTGCCAAGTGCTTTGCAGGAGCACTTTCATGCCGGAGATGCAGCCAGCCGTTGGACTGGGCAGCGCCTACGAAACCTGGAGCATCGGCGAGAACAGCATCGCCTACTCCCTGCTCGTGTTGCTGTGGCCACCCCCCGGGCACTCTTTCAGCCTGGAGCTGGACACGGCGGGGCAGCTGCCAGCGACCCCTTCCAGAATCCGTGTGGAGCAGCAGTGCCTGTGCTCGAGGGAGCAGCTGCTGGGCGACGCGCTGTGCTTTCTGCACCACCCCGAGGACGAGCTGCGGAGGGATCAGAGCTCGGTCCTCCCACGCACCCTCTGCACACTCTCCTGCTTAGACATGGAGAAAGTCACCTGCTGGGCCCAGGGCCCGGTGAGATCGGCCTGGCTGCTTTTGCCTCAGTCGTGCCACTGCCAGCTAACGGTGCTGCCCCCCTCCTCCCAGTCCTGCAGGTTCCAGCTGACAAGCACCTCCAAGTGGAACATCACCGTTGAGATGATGTTTGGAGCGCACCAAGGCAGCTCGGACACCTAGGCGAGCCTTCAGGAGGCAGAGGCCAGCTTGTCGGGCAGCCCAGCACGGCCGCAGAGCCGCGCTGCTCTCGAGAGGCAGCTTCTCAGGCTGGCGGCGAGGTGAGGCACCTCCACCTCCGAGGTCTGCAGCTCCGCACCCGTGTGCTGGTGGTCGCAGGGGGCCGCAGGATCTTTCTGGACCTTCTGGACGAGGGCACGCCGCGCACCCTCAGTCAGGTTGCAGACCACAGCAAGTCGGGCGGGAGCGTTGGTCTGCGTGAGGGAAGGACGGCTCTGCTGAGGGACCTGGGCAGGCCGGACCGGTGGGCCGAGGCCAACTGTATGCGGTTCAGCAAGGCCGAGTGCCGGGTCCTGCACTTGGCTCACAACCACCTCACGCCACGCTCCAGGCTTGGGGAAGAGTGGCTGGGAGCGGCCCGGCTGAAAAGGACCTGGGGGTGTTGGTCAGCTCTTGGCTAAAGATGAGCCAGCAGTGAGCCCTGGTGGCCAAGAAAGCCAAGAGCATCCTGGCCTGATTCTAAGATTCTAGGTTCCCTCTGCTTGGGACCTCAGGTGCCCATGTCGTTGACAGGAGAGACTTAGCACAGAAAGGGCCTTCTGGGCATGCTCCCATCTTACTGACTGACATCCCCACCCTCTCGTTGCCTCCAGAAGGCTTTGGACAGGAGGTGCATCAGATGTACTTTTCTACACATGCTGAACTGACAGAAACGTGGCAACCGTGTCCGTCATGACGCGTACACAGCGAAGCTAAAGAAAGTGTTTGGGGTGTCTGCGTGTCATGGTTTAGGCCTAGGCGGCAAGTAAACACGCGGCCGCTGGCTCAGGCCTGCCCCCTGGTGCGATGGGGAGGAGGAACTCTAACAAAAGGCTCCTGGGTTGAGGCAAGGACAGGGAGGACTCGTGCACCAATTATGGTCGTGGGCAAAACACAGACTCAGCTTAGGAAAAAGGCCATCAATTTAATTTGAACACCACCACCACTACTAATTTGCCAGTCACATCAGAGTAGGATAGTGAGAAATACAACCACATCGGAAAAACCCCTTTCACCCACCCCTGCCTTCCTCCCGGGTTTTGCTCCCGATTTCTCTACCCCCTCCCCTGAGCTGCACAGGGGGTCGGGCAATGGGGATCGGGGTCAGTTTGTCACACACTGGTCCTGCCGCTTCTTCAGCCACATAGGGAGGGCTCCTCACACGCTTCCCCTGCTCCAGTGTGAGGTTGCTCCCACGGGACACCGTCCTCCACAAACTTCTCCCATGTGAGTCCTTCCCAAAGGGCTGCAGCTCTTCATGAACTGCTCCGGCGTGGGTCCCTTCCACGGGCTGCAGTCCTTCAGGAAGAGACTGCTGCAGCACAGGCCAGCGGCAGGCCCAACGTGGAGCAGGGAGAGCTTCTAGAAGCTTCTCACAGGAACCAGCCCTGTAGCTCCCTCCCCACTACCAAAACCCCTCCACACACAAACCCAACACCCTGGGTCTCAAGGCAAGCCCACTTGCAGGACAGGCCACACTTCTGGGGGGCACGATGTGCAGCCCAGGGCTCCAGCGCAGAGTACAGAGGACTCTCCCGAACAGGGGAAACCTCATCAGAGCAGAGAGACACGGGCCCCGCCGTGGCCTCTCCAGGGCCCTCCCCTGCCCTTGCAGGGGCCAAGCAGTTGGTGGCTGCAGGCCGAGGAGCCACAGGATCTCTGCCGCTTGCACCACGGACGTGATTTGCCTTTTCCTTGGCTGTGAGGGTTTGCAGGGCTAAGTCCAAGAAGGATTCCAAGAGGAGAAGAGGGAGGAGGAGTTTGGTCTCCCCGCAATGCTCGTAGCTCTTCTTTTCAAGGCGACTCGGAGTCAGACCACCCGGCCCAGAAAACGTGGCACCTCCCTACGTAAGCCAGGGGCATCCACGGTTCTCATGTCCATTACGGTTTTGGGGGGTGTCTGCCCGCTTTGTCAAGAGAACCCCCGGGAGCTGGCTCCGGCCGGCTGGGCTGGACCTAGGTGTGATGCCCAGGACGTGCGGGGGGTCGGGTGGGGGGGCCGAAGGCTGGGGCCTCCTGTCTGGGTGATGATGCTGTGGCGGCTGTGACAGCACAATGGCCAAGTCCCAATGGGAACTGTGAACAGCATCACCAGCAGGCAGCCCCACTGCCTTTTGACTTGGGCGCTCGGTGAGTGCAGCACGCAGGGGGAAGGCTGGGCTGGATTGGGGATGGGGCGGATGGCCGGGGGGTTTGCAACCCAGAGGGAGAGCCGAGCCCCTCGGGGCAGGGCACGGTACTGCCCTCGGGGCTGGGGCCAGCGGTGCTCAGAGCTCCCGGGGGTGGGGGGAGCCCAGAGAGGCTTTGGGGACGTGCCAGGTGCCTGCGGCTCGACGGGAGGCTGTTGTGTGGCGGGGATGGGGCCTCGGGAGATGCCACTCTGGTGCCCCTTGCCATGCTGTCTCCAGGGCCTGCGGCCCCTGCCCAAGCCTGTTGACACCAGCGCCCGAGCCCTCTCCTGGGACATCCCATGGCTCCTGCCCGTGCAGTGCTCACAAAGCCTGCCCCTGCTCCCCGCTACCTCCCACAACCCGTCTCCTACCGGCCCCCAGCTCCAGGCAGCTCCTGCCCCGCTCCCCCAGGCCCGTGCTCCCTCCCAGCCAGCCCTGCTGAGCCCCCTTTTCTTCCGCTTCCTCCAGGCCATGGCTGCAGCAGTTGCCCTCGTCTTGGCTCTGCTGGTGCTCCAGCATGGACTGAAGCTGGATGACCATACAGATGTGGCCACGTCCCAGAGGATGCAGCAGCGTGAGGAGTATCTGCGTCAGGAGATGACTCGGCTGCTGCAGGAGATTGAGAGCAGACCTGCGTGGAAAGACATCTTCTCTTCTGTGTGGCAGCGGTGCCTACCTTGGACTCCTGTGGGAGTCCTGGTCCTGCTCGCTGCGGTCTGGTGGTGCTGCAGGAAAGTGAAGCTTGTCTCTGAGAGCTGCAGTGGTGAGGACTGCTCCAGCAGCAAGGAGGAGGACGAAGACAAAGAGGAGGAGGAAGACCGCAGCGGTGCACGCAGTGTTGCCAGGCCTCGGGCTGTGTCCACCCCATCGCCAAGGCAGTGATACAGGGCCAAGATAGGAACAGGGGATGTAAGGGTTAACATGAGAATAGCAAGAAGGGGATAATAGCAAGAAGGGGATAACAAAAGAAAATAGTTCAAGGGAAATAGTTTAGATAACGGTTAACTGTCTGCTTAGTGAGCAGACAGTTTATAAAACACGGTGAGCTCTCTAGGCTTTATCAGTACCAAGCCGGTTGGAACTAGACCCACGGTTTGGACAACAGCCAGTAAGAAACTGAGTATGCGCAAAACCTGGGGTCACAGAGCGGACAGGAGGAAGAGGAGCTTGACTTCATCCCCAAAGACCCCCACGACCACCACCAGAAGACACTGCGCAGACTCAACTAGGAGGAGATTATGGAAATGCTAATTATAATACGAAGCGGGGATAGGTGTTGAATATGTATAGGCGTATTGCGAAATATTATGAATATGTAATCATTTGCTCTATAAATCTTAGGTAACAGCATCATACGTTGGGTACACAATAGGAGGAGTTATCCCCTGTGTACCTCAGCGCTGAATAAACATACCTACTTTACAATCTATCAGATTGTGGAGTCTATTTCCGCACGTCAGCAGGGCCTGCCCGACACGTGCCAGGTGCTGAAGGAGCTGGTGGGTGAGCTCCTTGAGGTGTGCCAAGTGCTTTGCAGGAGCACTTTCATGCCGGAGATGCAGCCAGCCGTTGGACTGGGCAGCGCCTACGAAACCTGGAGCATCGGCGAGAACAGCATCGCCTACTCCCTGCTCGTGTTGCTGTGGCCACCCCCCGGGCACTCTTTCAGCCTGGAGCTGGACACGGCGGGGCAGCTGCCAGCGACCCCTTCCAGAATCCGTGTGGAGCAGCAGTGCCTGTGCTCGAGGGAGCAGCTGCTGGGCGACGCGCTGTGCTTTCTGCACCACCCCGAGGACGAGCTGCGGAGGGATCAGAGCTCGGTCCTCCCACGCACCCTCTGCACACTCTCCTGCTTAGACATGGAGAAAGTCACCTGCTGGGCCCAGGGCCCGGTGAGATCGGCCTGGCTGCTTTTGCCTCAGTCGTGCCACTGCCAGCTAACGGTGCTGCCCCCCTCCTCCCAGTCCTGCAGGTTCCAGCTGACAAGCACCTCCAAGTGGAACATCACCGTTGAGATGATGTTTGGAGCGCACCAAGGCAGCTCGGACACCTAGGCGAGCCTTCAGGAGGCAGAGGCCAGCTTGTCGGGCAGCCCAGCACGGCCGCAGAGCCGCGCTGCTCTCGAGAGGCAGCTTCTCAGGCTGGCGGCGAGGTGAGGCACCTCCACCTCCGAGGTCTGCAGCTCCGCACCCGTGTGCTGGTGGTCGCAGGGGGCCGCAGGATCTTTCTGGACCTTCTGGACGAGGGCACGCCGCGCACCCTCAGTCAGGTTGCAGACCACAGCAAGTCGGGCGGGAGCGTTGGTCTGCGTGAGGGAAGGACGGCTCTGCTGAGGGACCTGGGCAGGCCGGACCGGTGGGCCTGAGGCCAACTGTATGCGGTTCAGCAAGGCCGAGACTGTAATATGTGAGCCACGCTTCCCTGACCTTATCTGCATTCTTGAACCATTTTGCTTCATCTTTCTCCTTCGCATTCCTGAGAGGGACGGGTTGAATAAACAGCTGGGTGGTGCTCAGTTGCCCTCTGGGCTCAAATGACTTCAGGCTGTTGGCTACAGCCACCTGAATATGAGTGGGCAGTGTGCCCAGGTGTCCCAGTCGTCCAGGGGCGTCCTGGCTTGTATCAGAAACAGGGTGGCGAGGTGGTCTAGGGAAGTGATTTTCCCCCTGTACTTGGCACCGATCAGGCCACTACTCGAATACTGTATTCCGTTTTGGGCCCCTCACTACAGGTAAGACACTGAGGTTCTGTCGCATGGCCAAAGAAGGGCAATAAAGCTGGTGAAGTGTCTAGAGAAGAAATCCTGTGAGAAGCAGGTAAGTTAGCTGGGGTTGTTTAGTCTGGAGAAAAGGAGGCGTATTGGAGACATTGCTCTCTACATCTACTTCCAAGGAAGCTGTAGTGAACTTAGCTGTCAGTCTCTTCTCCGAAGTGACTGGATGAGAGGAAACAACCTTAAGTTGCTCCAGGGGAGGTTTAAATTTGCCATTCGGAAATATTTCTTCAGCCAAAGCATTGTCAATCCCTGGAACGGGCTTCCCGGGGAAGTGGCTGAGTCACTGTCCCCGAGGGTATTTCAATGATCTGTATATGTGGCATTTAAGGGCATGGTTTACTGGTTGATTTGTCAGTGTTAGGTTTATGGCTGGACTCAGTGATCTTAAAGATCTTTTCCGACCTAAATTATTCCATGCTTCTAAGATCCTATGATTCATATTAGATAAACTCAATCATTGGCATGGCTTCCCATTCACAGTAATTTCACTACCACTTTGTGCATTCTAGCTGTATTTTCGTCTCCTAGCATAAATTTAGGAAAGGTAGGAATATTGTGAGGCAAGCCTACCCATAAATTTACAGAACACCACCTACTCCATTAAAAAAAAAAAAAAAATCCCAGAAAAGCTCTGTATCCCATGTAAATGAAAAGTTGATTTTTAGAAATTCATAGAGAGAAACAAGCTACTTAGAGTTTCCCAACCCTTATCAGAAGTCAAAAGTGTGTAAGACTATAATTCCTCACCAGTTGACAAAAAAGCACTTTAAAAGGGTTATTTTTTTCCTCAATGTAAAGATGAGACTCGGTCACAGAGGAAATTTACTTTTTTTCTGAGGTTATCTATTTAAGAATGTTAAGTCCAGAAACCTATGCTGCTTCTATAAATGTTTAGGGTTTAGAAAATGAAATAGCTGTTACCTGACCAGCTAGAAAACTGTAAAGCTAAGACAGAACCCAATACAATCCTAAAAATGATCGTCACAGGTCCATCTATGAGCCATATGCCCACAGAATAAAATTTTTACAAAATGGTGTTCTGTAGAGTCTCTTGCAACCAACATTCTCGGATTCAGTGATCAGGAAAAAAGCAAGTTAACTCTGCCAAGTAAATGAGGTTGACTGTGTACCAATTACACTAATAATACAGATTAAAAACAACAGCTTATAACAGAATGTTTATGCATACGAACGATAATTATTAATAAAAAGTCTTTTCTACATCCCTACTAAGAGCACAAAACAAAATGGGATTTAAAAGAAAAGAAATAGTGCCGCCTACTGAACAAGGTGGAAACCCACAAGTTCAAGCCCTTCTTTCTGACTGGTTTCCCACAGGACTCAGACCCTGGCTCCCCCAGTTAGACCTCTCCCTTCTCTCTCTTGCTCACGGTTCTGTGCCACCCAGGACAAACAGAGCGGCTATATATGAGTGCAGGCTAGCATTGCACTGGTGCCTAAGGGGAAGAGAGAAGTCTTCTCTTAATGGCCAGCATCTTTGCATAGATGTTCTCCAATAGACAAGGGTTTTCAACAGCTAGCAATATTTTTTGAGCCTTAAATGTTTCAGTGGAAGCATGGTGGGTTTGATACATTTCTATCACATCCAAGAGAACTTCATGATCCCCAGTCCTGAAAGACTCTGCCAGCAAATGAAGGAGAGATGCTTTCCTCCTTGTTCAGACCAAAGTTCAGTGCTACTGCCTCTGGTTGAGAAAACCTGCAAATCCTCAAAGGAGTTCCTGAGGCAAAAGGGCTGAGTGCTTCCAAACAACCCACAGCTAAGCTGCGAGCTGGAGCCCAGCTGTCACAGAAAACACACACGCAGTGTCTGCTGGGCAACAGCGCGTGGAGTCCAGGGAACATTTTGTTTGCTTACATTTCCTGGACAAATTTAAAAAAAATATTTCCATGGCAGGGAGAGTCAGGAATTTAATAAATTAAAAAAGCTCTTTTTGTAGCTCAACCAGGATCAAAACCATTCATATCTACCCTTAATTAGCAAAAGTCGGTAAAACATCTTCTGATCTTCATCTGACCTAGATGGATGGCTTCACATTCTCCTCTCAGTCAGATCAAGACTGTAGTGATCCTGGGAAGCTAGAAAATATCATAAAATCATAATAAAATAAAATATTATCCAACTGTCTGAGCTCAGAAAAAAGATCCTTCCATATCTTGTTTCACAATTATGCCATTCAGCTAGTATAATCCCTTGTTAGTCTCATGAAGATGTAATAAGCTCATGAGAATGCTTGACATAAGGTCTGCTGATGCCTAAAGGTTACAGTAACATCCTTCTATGTTATTGATTTTAGCGAGGTCATAAATGCCATGAGTAGATGCCAGTCAACATTTTGATCAATCAAAGTGACATATGGATTTTAATGCATCTGATAAATCAAACATGGTGGTCACCAAACACTGGTGAGTAGTCATGTACTAGTCAATTTTTAATTTCCAGGATGCTGGGATTTTATCAATTCCTGTTAGAATCAGGTATGGCATGACTCAATGCTATGCACCAGTCTCTCTTTTAAAGAGAAATACACCTCTTTTCTCCAGCTGGAAACGCATGTTTAAACAGTTAGAAGAACAGCAGGAAGTATAAAGCACAATCTAAAATGCAACAAGAGAGAGCAAAAGGAAAGTTGGGCAGCATAGCTACAGCAGTTGTAACAGAATTTCAGAACTGTTCATCAAAAAAAAAACAGTTTGCCTGGAGGGTGAATAACAATAAGGTACATGAAAATAAAAGTCAGATTAAAAGAAGTTTACAAAAGTAAGGAGATTTTGGTCAACTCCTTCTTTCAGTGATTCTATGTATTTATTACAATAAGAAGAGCAATGTAAAAAGTTTAAAAGAAAAATAATCTCAAGGAAAAATAAATGCTTCTGCCTTGGTTTGGTGGAAAAGTTAATGCCACCTGCTCCAAGGTGCTCTGGGTACCAAGACTGAGGGGGTTGCTAGACCCAGTGCAGCGTGGCAATAGCCTCGGCACCTGGGTACTTCATCATGCTCTGAGCCTGCCCAATCACCTTCCCCTCCGAGTAACACACCTCCAGAATTCAATGACTCCAGAAATAGGAAGGATGGGAGCATAGTCTGGCTTCAAAAACCTCCTTGCTGGGAGGCTTCCCTGAGCAGCAGGGGCTAGAGCTGCCAGCAGTGAAACCATTCCTGCAGCCAAAGGGGCACCTGGGTGACAATTTTGGAAACAACGATTGTTGTCCAAATTATGGGCAATCAGAGCGTGTGGAAGTCATCAGTGCCAGCCCACCATAGCCACTGATTCAAGACCCACAGGCTGTCTTTCCCTCTTTGCCATTTAATTTTGCTGTTCTAGCACTTGGTCATCCAGATGGCTTCTTACCTCACCTGTATGTAAAATTTTACTGTCTGTAAAATGGACCTCTAATAGAATCACTGAAGGCAATTGGTTTAAACCATAAGAGTGAGAACTCTTCATACAAGTAAGCCTTGTCCTAAGGCTTCATAGGAAGTGCTGGAGTCCTACTCTAGAAGGGCGAGTCCTACTCTCCCTATGAATAAGACCAGCATTGTCCTAACAGATATGTAAAATTTTAACTTAAAACCCATACTGAAATTCACCATCTTTTTGAGCTATAAAGCTTCATAAATATCCAACTGGAGCACACAGCTGTTTTTTTTTTCTGAGTTTGAGACAGGATTTTTTTTGAGCGAGGAGTAAGATATCATATGATTAAGCCTTTCTAGCATTGTCCCACATGCACCACAAAATTCTGATTTAAAACAAAAGTTAAGTCTATCATGCTGAAATTCTGAGACACCAACTTTTTGATCTATAAAGGTTCATAAACACCAAACTGGAGTGCACTACTTGTTTGGGTTTTGTTTTGTTTTTCCTTTTTTGGGGGGGTTTGGAAAAGCATACAAGTAATGTTTTACATTCAGCACTAGAAGGAACCAATTGACAGCACAGAATCTTTTATTTTTTCTACATTTTACTTTTCTTCATTGCAAAGTACCTTGAGAAGATGGCATTACATAAAGCAAGAATATATCTTCATAATAAAATAGGCTATAAGAAATGTTGAAACATTACTTAAAAAATGTGTCAGATGCCCATCAAGACTATTTCAGACCATGATAAGGAAACTTCTGCCCCTATGTGGTAATCCTTCTCCCTTAGTCTTCATAGACAGTAGTACAGAAGTTACTGTGAAGTGACGTTCACTTCCAAAGACTCTAATGTGTTCTAGATATTCCCAAGCACAGGAACCATTCTACCCACCTTCTCTGTAGACCTCTACTGAACCAGGGGTATCTTGTCTTATGTAAGACTAGAAAGAAGTAGGATCCGTGACATACATCTGCACTTCTTCTTCACAAATATTGCTGTTAAAATTTACCAGTGGGAATTGTCAGAACTTTTTAATGTACAGAAAATAAAGTACAGATGTTAGTGACAGATTCGGTGAGTAATTACATGCAGTGCTGAATTCAAATACGCAGAAAAATAGGAAGATTTGAAATCAGCTTTAAAGTTATATTCACATGCTGGGAGCAGTGCTCTAGTGTGATTATAATTGT